TTTGCCTACTCTCTCTCTATATATCTCATCCAGCCTGGCTATATTCTGCCCAGCCATAGGCCAAAGCAGCTTTATTCATTAACCAGTAAGAGCAACACATACAGAAGGACATCCCACATCATCTCCCCTTTTCTGTCTAAATAAAAAGGAAGGTTTTAACTTTAACATAGAAAAATCACATAAACAAAACAGGTATCAAGCAAGAATTACAGTTACAATATTTAATCTATTTGTATCTGGCAAAATTAAAGAAAATATTCTATCATCTATTTTATCATTGTTTTCTAAAGCTTCATTTCTAATTTATCTTTTATCATAAATAAGGGAAACTATAACTATTTGTCTTCAACTCCATCAAAGACCTGAGAAGGATATATTACCTAAGTAAACAAGAAGTGCATTGTAAGCAACTTCCAAAACTCTAGAAATGACAGACATCTTGCTGCCTGACAGTCACCCAAAGTTCTTCTGTAACATTGGGTATTCCATCTTTAGCTGGCAGGCCCATAGTATCCAGCAGACTTTTCCATGAAGCAGGAAATTTGAAAATCTGTTTTGCCTTTATTGGCAGTTTGTCAGTCACTTTCTTCTGTGTCCTGCAGAATGTCTGGCAGACTCTTTGATGAAGTAGGAACCCTGAAGGACGATCTTACCTTTAGGCAAGTTCAGCAGTCATTTTTCTGTGGGTCCTGCATGTCCAGTTCATACAGCATTTCATTAAACAGTCCAGGCAAGAGCAGTTTCTTGCTTAAATGGCTAACAAACTCCAAGGAGCCTTTTCAATGCCCATCATCCTCTTGAAGTAATTGATACTGCCAGAGCAGACATGTCTCACTATTAAGAAAAGTCTAAATTCTTAAAACTTTTCAAATACCTTATTCTGTAGGTCTTTGAAGTGTTGGAATTTATCTAACTGAACTATATCTCTGTATATATAGAAAATCTAACTGATGTAATTAAAAGTTTGATTATTATAAATGACTATTAATCTGTAGTTTTAATTATACAGTTTTTAAATGAGCTGCACAAACAATACCTTAAATAAGAATAGAAATACATATATACAGTGTAACAAAATTAACCTTAAATTTTTATCAGTAGACCAAAGTCCATGCCACTGTAAAGTATTTATCTCTATATCATATACCCCCTTTTTAGAAATTAACTTTGACTATTAATCATTTTTAACCAACTCTTTTAAAATAAAAATAAATATTTATAAACAATCATTTTGGGAATTTGGGCATAGTTTTCTCCAAACTCTTTCCTGCTGTTTTATGGCACAGTATTTTTAGGGTTCACAGAGACCTTTGGGAGGGTCTTGTTCCATCAAACCACATTAGCTTTGAAGGAATCCACAGGTTCTCATCTTCTGTGGAAACAAAAGCAGAACCTCTTTTCCAAAGAAACATATCCTTAGACTCAGATTTTGAAGTCAATAAACTATATGTATGTATATATATATATATATATATATATATATATATATATATATACAGCTTAGCAGTCTGTACAGTGAAATGTCTCTCTGTAGTTAGCTCATTCACAATCAAAACTTTTAAAGAAAACACATTTGTGTATATAATCCAGACTGTATATTTTCCATCTTTATGTGGCTTTTTTCACTATTACTTTTTAATATTTATTTTATTATTTTTACTCCTTTAATCTAGGACTGTTTGTACTCCTTTCTCTTTTTCAAGCCCATGTGCATTTATCTGACATTTTGACCCATTTAGACGTCTTCTTCATCTGAATCTGTCTCTCTTGCATATCTGTAATCATTTTCTAAGCAGAAGTGTGACTAGGATTGAGACTTATTTATTTATTTATTTATTTGTCTTTTGGTTCTGTCCAGGCCAACATGTCAGAGATATGTTCACTGCCAGCTTTGTGGGCCATGCTCACTGTCCCAGCTCTAGGGACACAGCGGGTCTATGTTGCCATTAAGCAACTTGAAGCACACTGCTTACAAACCCCATTTAAGTGCAAGAGCTGGCGGAAGAGCCAGAGTTTGCGCTGCAGCCTGAACCAGGAAGCATTCTCCTAAAGAAGCTGTGCAGTTCTTGCTGCTCATGCTGAGTTAGGAAGCCTTCTCTTAAAGGAACCATGCCTCTGCTTGCCGCCAGCAATCAGAGCCTATCTGAAGAAAAAATGCAGTACCAAGAAGATGCACTTGGCTCCTGTTTTTGTGGGTCTAGAAGCCCTCCCCCCTTAAGCTTTTTTAGGTCTTATGTGGATGTACATTGCTGAACGTTTGGGTGCCATTTTATAAGTGGTGACTGCTCATTTGTTTCCTGGCCATCCAGACCCAAATAATCACACAGAGACAATATTAATTAGAACACTGCTTGGCCAATAACTTAAGCATATTCCTTGCTAGCGCTTATATCTTAAATTAACCCATTTCTATTAATCTGTGTATTACCACTAGGCTGTGACTTACTGGTGTCAGCATGTTACTCCTTTAGTAGCTACATGGCATCTCCTTGACTATGCCTACTCTCTCTATATATATCTCTTCAAGCCTGACTATATTCTGCCATGCCATAGGCCAAAGAAGCTTTACTTGTTCACCAATAAGAACAACACATACACAGAAGGGCTTCCTACATTGCAGCAGGAGGGGAAAACTCCATTGTTTTGCAGCAAAGAGTGTAACTAAGAAATTAACATTTCAGAATAGCTAGGGGAATGGGTTTTATGTTCCCAACACAAAGAAATGACAGGTGTCTAGGCATGGATAAGACAGTTCGATCTGAGAGCTGCATGTTGTATGCACCTATTGAAATATGTTGATCCATGTATACATACTGTTATGTGTCCGTTTTTTTTAATTGTTTCTGTGACAACTTTCCATTGATTATTATAAAACAAATCAGTTAATAAAGCATGATGATAAAGTAAATGTAGATCCTCTCATTAGTTAGCTGTATGTCTGATGTTTTTCATAGTTCCTGTGTGCACATAGAACATGCATGTGTGTTTTATTAAATGTATATTTATTATTAACACATTTTATTGGCTGGTGAGGTGGCATGGTGGGTAAAGATCTCCGGTGGAAAGAAAGAACCAGCTCCCAAAGTTTTTCTTCTGACCCCTGGGTGGGTACTGTGACTTGCACATGCCCGTGCATGTACACACAACACTGAATGAATGAACAAAGTGGGTGAAACACACCAGCAAGTAAAGATCAATAGCATGGTTTTAGTGCTTACATAAAAAGCACCTTAGTTGTTCAAAGTCAGTGAAAATAATTCATTGAGCCCATCTGCTATTAATAGGCAGCCAATTTCACTTAATGACCTATGTTGTAAACTTTGTCATAATTGTCTTTATAGTTAGATCCTCATATGTGGACATGATAGGTTGTGTAGAGTACGTTATTTAGTGATTATGGAGTCTTAACCTTACACATTTTATGCTAATAAGCATTGCTGGATTGCTTTACAGAAGGCTTATGTTTTTACCAGTGTTGTAGGTAAGTTGTGAAGAAACTGGAGCCATAGACTACTGCATGAGTAGAAATCAACCTGCTTGAAACCCATCTCCACACTGATATGTGACGGAGGCCCCACCGGCTCCCTCCACCTTTCACAGTGTAGAACCGAGGTTGGCTACGTAGAAATGACCAGGTTGAGGCTGTCTGGTCTCTGTTGTAACTACAAATCTGCTTTAAAGAGAAGCAGCCATAAACATTTCAAATGCATGTGTTAGTTGTGTTCCCATAAAACTTAATTTTAAAAACAAAGTTTGAGGGCTCTGTCTTTGGGAATCTGCTTTATTTCGAGGTAAGGTATATGAAAAAAAGTATATTAAACAACCTTAATAACCATAAACCTTTTATTGCTCTTTACTCTCTTTTTTTACACTTTCTACCGTGTGTGTTTGGAGGTCAGAGAGTAGCTTGTGTGAGTCTGTTCTTTCCACCCACCACCATGCGGGTGCTGGAGATTGACCTCAGGCTGGGTAGTGAGTGCCTTCAGCCACTGAGCCATCTCGCCAGCCCCCAGCCTCTCCTTAGACTCCTGACTGGTTTGTATCCCAGTGAAATGAGTGTGTCCATTGATGCAGTCCCTGCCTTGACACAAAGTGAAAGATGTGTTTTGTTTTCTTAAACTGCCTTTGTGGTAGGTAGCTGTTCCTTTTTTAAACAGACACGATAAAATTCCCTTATAAAAAGAACATTTATTTGTGTGGTGTGTGCATATGGGGTAGGGTATACACTTGGTGTGTACACATGTGGGGTATGTGTGTGTGTGTGTCTTCACCTTTGTGTGTGTGTCCCTTCACTTGTGTGTGTATGTGTGTGTGGGGGGGTGAGATCAGAGGTTTACTTCAGGTATCTTCTTTATGTTCATTTTGAGCTGTGGTCTCTTAGGAAGCCTGTGCTCACAGTTAGATCTGACGGGTTAGCCAGTGAGCCCTGGGGTCTACACC